TTTTTTTTTTTTTTTTTTTTTTTTTTTTTTTGGTTTTTTTGAAGTTTTGACACCCTGCGCGTGTCACCTGAGTTCTTCGTATGGGAAAGACTTCTGTTACAAGTATGTCTGGTCTTGGCCAGATGCCATCACACTCTCAACGCTTTGGAAAGTCTGTAGCTGCTTTTGTTTTTAAGAACGGGTCTCGCTTTATAGCCAAGCTGGCCTTCAACTGGTTTTTCTCCAGCCTCAACACCCGAAGGATTTGGGATTGCTGACACACACCAGCCGGCGCACCAGGCTCCGACTCCTTTGATGGTCTACTCACAAGTCTTGGTTCATGTCCTAGGGATCCTGAAACATTTCTGTGTGTTGATGGGAGAAGCTGGCAGGTCCCTCCCAACCACCTTCTTGGTGATGTTGTGAGCGTGCAAATGGAGGCGAGACACATGGGAGTTCCGATTAGCAGATGTTTGTTTCCGGGCTGATCCTGTGGTAGAGGCTAACTTATTTATTTATTTATTTACAAGACAGGGTTTCTCTATGAAACCTTAGCTCTCTTGGACTCGCTTTGTAGACCAGGCTGGCCTTAAACTCAGAGATCCACCTGCCTCTGCCTCCCTGAGTGCTGGGATTAAAGGCGTGTGCCACAGGCCTGGCTAGAGGCTACCCTTTATTGGTCACTTTAACCAGCAAGATGGGGCTACATAGAGAGACCAGCTCTAGCTGTGACGTAGTGACAGACTAGCAGACTGCAAGATGGAAGCACAATGTCTGTGGCTGTAAAAGTCCCCAGCTTTGGGTGTGTTCAGCGTCCCACAGTGCCACTCACACTTGCTTGGTCCCTGGGGTGGAAGAGTTTCAATTATCATAATAATGTCTTAGGCTTTCTCCTCTTCATGATCTGGCATGTTCATTGTCTGCTGATTTTCTAGAATAGGAATTAAAACTGGGCCTGGAGGTACAGGCTTGTTGGCCCAGCCATTCAGGAGACTGGAGCAGGAGAATTGTAAGGACAGGCTGGTGTGAGTTACAGGAAAAAATTCAAGTCCAGCCTGGTGAATTTAGGAAGACCCTGCTTCAAAACAAATAGTAAAAACAGGGATGGGGCATGGTTTAGTATCTTCACCCTTTCTAGAATCCTCCAGTGAGGGGCTGGGGTGTGGCTCAGTGGTAGAGCCCCTGCCTAGA